TGTCACCCACTGGCCTCTTGTATTCTAAGGAGGGCATGTTTGAATATTTCATGGTTGATTTATGTAGTGAATCGTGCATTTTCAGGAGCAATAAAGTTTAAACTTTTTAATATTAATATCAGAGTGTAATGGAGGATGGTATGGTCAGGACTGCAGCCTAACATGTGGAGCCTGTTTTGGTGGTGACTGACAATGCCACCACGTGAGTGGGTCCTGTCTGGAGGGTTTGTCGATGGTTTTAGAGGGCAGATTTGTAAAACGAGTGCGTCACGCAGAATTTTAAATTATATACAGTGTATTACAGAAAATATCGTATGATTAACGTATCGATAAGGATAATTTCTTTGTCGAAATATAAAACAGACATAACATCTAATTTCAATTTAATAGCCTCAATTATAGCAGCCATTTTATTTTCATGTTGTACAACTAAATGAAAGAAATGGAAGACATTTTTTTTTATTGAAAGGTAGACAAACGTGAACCAAAAACGATGTAAAGAAATTGATTTTTAATGTCAATTTACAAAACTTCAGAATATTTTTATGAAAAAATCAATTTCAAGATTCCTCCTCCTTATTCCTTCAATTATTTTAAAGAGTGTTTGCCAGGAACATTTGATAGAAACTGTAAATGGAATTGCTCTCATAATTGTCGAATACCATGAAAGTGTTATACAAGAACTGGGGCGTCTGAAAGGGGCTGTCAACCCGGCTGGGAGGGGCCACAGTGTGAAAGAGGTAATAGTTTTGAAAAAGATTTTACTTGAAAATAGTGCATTTGTGTGTTTTTTTAACTTCTGATTTATACAATATGTAACTTAATTTTTCCATTACATAGTTTGCAAAGGGAAGTACGGTGAGAAGTGTTCCCAAGTGTGTAGATTTTGTCGAAATTCTGTCTGTGATCCCGTGGATGGATTCTGTCTACAGGAATGTACCGAGGGTTATTAGGGACCCCTATGCAATGAAGGTAATTCATCCGTTTAACCATATGTACAATATATCTGTGTTCTGTGCTGAAACATGGAGTAACGAACAGTATTCAAGATCAAAGTGTCTAAAACAATACGAAATAGAAGCAGGGCAAATAAGGACCTCCAATACATCAGAGGAGGGATCAGGTGCCATGGAGGAGTGAGCATTCCATGCTGACCGGACACACCTGCCGTGTACTTCTTGTCATGATCGGGTAATAATGGAACAAAATCCGTCGTCAATTCAGTGAAAAAATAATGGACTACCAATTAGTATGAAAAACGTAAGAGAGTCTCTACATGAACATAAGTTTGTAATCAATATCTTATAAATTCACGTCTAATACATTTCTTTCTCTTTTTGTTATCTTAGTTATCTTAATTCATTTTCCTGACGTACGGTTTATTCTTATAATTATTAACTTTTGAAAATTTATCTTTCTAACACAAGCTTTGTTTTAGTATGCAATGCAGGATTTTATGGCAATAACTGTAAAAAAGAGAGCAGTCTCTTCTGCAAGACATCACGTGACTGCCATCACGTGACCGGAAATTGTAAAGATGGATGTATAGGAGGGTGGCAAGGTGCACAGTGCTTGCAAACTATGTATCTTATCCTAGCTAATCGATACTAAACGATTTTTTATGAACACATTATGGAAATATGTTGTAAAAGCATCGTACATTACGCAGTTTATAGTTGAAGTTAAAAAAACATATTATACTTGCATTGTAATGTGATGTAATATGTAATGGTTTTGTGCAGTAGAAGAAACAGGAGTATGGCATTCAAGATTTAATGGTGTTCTTGCAGCCCTGTGCATAAGCATAGAAACAATTTTGGGATTAATATTCTTCATATGTATGATTAAGTAGGTTTATTGTTTTATATATCTTACAATAATATATCTTGTAATAAAATTTCAAGTATTTTACCATCTCATCCATTTTATTTTATTTTTGGTGATATAGATAATTCGTTTGGATATAAATTTTGACAGTAATTTTTAAAATACTGTTACATATAAGAAATAGGAAAGTTTGATTTCAATTAACCTTGAAAAATTTTGTAATACGTATTTGAAAGCTTTATTATAAAGGGAATATCTCTATTGATATTATTTTTTACTTCTCTGCAGATACCGTAAAAGACAAAAAGAGCAAGATATGGCATCTAATGCAGGACCTGTCAATATTATTTCTGAAGAAGCTGGTGAAGATTCAAGAAAAAACTACTCGTATCAGAAGTTTGCCAAATCGCCAATTTTATCAGATTTATAAATGCTGCCATTCTTCTCAATCTAATGTGTCCCAATGTAAAATCTGTTAGTTTACTTTAAAAAAAAACTTTATTGATTATACATGTATCAAAGACATACAACATCACAAATTAAAAAAAATATATCAAAACTAATTAGGAGCACATGGCAGGTGTGACCGGTCGGCAGGGGATGCTCACTCCTCCATGGCACCTGATCCCATCTTTGATGTTTTGGAGCTCTGTGTTTGGTTTGCTCCTAGTTTGTATTCTTTTATAAGCTACTGATCTTGAATAATGTTCATTATCTCTTTATTTTTAATATATTATTAAAAGTGTACTGGTATTTATTTATATACGAGTAACATTCAACAGTAGTGCAAATCTAGAAATAAGAACAACACACAAAGCAGTCTCATAATATATTGAAATCCTTAATTTATTAACTCCCGTTGTCTTTTAGCCATGGCCAATTACCTCAGTATACTCGTCTATAAGGTTGTCTTATATTCACTGATGAATAACACTTCCTATGACAAAATTAATAAGCCTCCTTTTAATTTTTTTTTGTGTTTTGGGGAAAAAAACACAATGAATGAGATCTAGCGAATGTGGGGATGGCTAAAGTAAATCTCCTTTTTCTTCGATTCTTAATGTTTATTTGCATCAGAGTTGTCATGTACAAGAAATTTATCCTCGGGAGCGGTATTTGCACTTTCCTTACGGTTAAAAAATTTAACAACATTCTTTGTTATGATTTTAACGTGAGTTACAATAAAGATCATTTCTGTGGATGTATATCCATATTTTACAACATCTTTTGAGTAAAAAGAAACCCCAAGTTTGGAGTTTGCGACTCTTTGCAATAATAGGTCGACACCTTTTTCGAGACCTCTGATTCCAAATGATATTTTTGAATTTCTTTTGACTATAATAAGTTAAAACAAGTTTTTTTTCCATCCATCACCCAAGTTTATCAAACATCCTTTTTATACGTATGTATTAAGGACAGATGATACAAACAATTTTTTTTTCTTTGGAGGAGACTTAATATCATGTCACAAGTTTAGAAAAGTGGATAATTCTTAGAATTATCTTCTTGGTGCTAAAAGTGTAATATAAACTTCAAGAAAATATACCAATCCAGGTATATATTATGAGAAAAAACAAAATGACAAGAAATCAGTAATATCACGTAGGCTGATTTTGACCATTTTGCTTTTCCTAATAAAATTCACCTAGCTAGGTATATTTTTCTAAAGTTTATATTACATTCTAAGCACCAAGGTAACATATTCCAAAATTTGTTTTCACCTGTAAACCTTTACTGGGTGTGTTTTGTCTATCTTTGTTATTTCATTTGAAGTAATACTAATATTTTCCAAGTCTATTTCATTTCCCGGTTCTTAGAAGAAACATTTCTAAGAATTATCCACTTTTCTAAACTTGTGACATGATATTAAGTCTCCTCCAAAGAAAAATTTGTTTGTATCATCTGTCCTTAAAATGATTTATGCAAATAGACATTGGGAACATTTAAGGCGTGTTTTCTTAAGTATTTGTAAAAGAGAAAATTTGAAATAGAAAATTCAGTCATATAGTCGTAATGATTTGAATTCCGAAGTGTTAAAACTAATCCCTACACCTTTCAACACTATATAAGATTTTTTCAGCAATTTTCGACTATTATAAGAAGCGTGTAGGTAGGCTTTTTGAATAACCCTCGTATTCTTTTAAAATCTTTTACAATTTTATAATTCACAATGAAAAGAGAGCTTCATTATGAAATTTACAGCTTTTTACAGTAAAATACAATTTCATGCAATTTCATAGTCATTATCACTATTACGTTATCTTCACTTTAAATATGCACATGTAATTGCAAAAAGCACAAGTTACGAATGTAATTCGATAAGCAATGCAGTATATACTGTTTATCATAATGTACATATATTTAATTTTATTTTTTCACAGTTAAAAAGTTCTAGTTAGGAAAGCGGTCTATTAAAAAAACAAATGTTTTAACAATGTAGAAGATTTGATAAACTTGCTTGTTGGATGACTAAACATTGATGCACTTTATTTTAGCCGAATAATATTATAAATAAAAAAAAATGTGGAATCAAAGAAAAAGGAGTCAATTTATGATAAAGAAACGCAACGGTTCCAAACAATATTTTTTTAGTTTTCATGTATTTCAAGAGGTCCGTAAATGATGTATTGAACGAACCTCGTAGGTTTAGATAGAAGTTTGATTTCTATCTCTTCTTGGTTTTTAAAAGAAGGTTTCAGCTTTCTGGGTATATTTTTATTTTCATGCAAGATGATATGGGAATATAATGAGTGACCTGATAAGGTATTTTTGCATTATTTTATCTGTATAAAAAGAAATCTATATAAAAAAAATAGTTACTCTTTGAAATTAAAAGTGCACGGTTTTTTTTAGTTTTGTTTAGTTAACCAGTTTATGGCGGCTTATGGCGGCATCCAGTGCAGAACACTTAAGAGTTGGGTATATATCTATATATGTAGCGAGTTTATAATAAATATTTGTATTGTGTTTCGGAATTCGTCACCGCTGACGAATAAACAAACTTTTAAAACTCTTGGCTAGATCCGCCACTACTAATCTTCAAAACCCTCTGTATATGTGTTTCAACACTTTTCCTCGCTCACCTCGCCAGTTACACCCTAACGTTTAATCTCGAATTAATCCCAAATACTCCAAGTACTGGGGTAAATAGAGAGAAAAAACGCCACCTCATCATGGTCAAAGTTTTTGCAAAACTATTTTAAGCCGTCTGGAATGACTAATTACCCTTAAAATTACATAACATGCAGGCGCATAAAGAGTTAAGGCTCAGAATTGGCCTCCATGATAACCTATTGAAATCACACAAATATCTGTCTCCAAGATTGAGATCAATTATTTCCCTCTGCATGAAAACCCCATGGTCATTTATCAGTTCTTGGAGCATGTCTGCAGAATCTTTTTGGGTCTATTACAAGGGGTACAGGTAAGGCGATATTTTTGATATGTAAATTTTACACCTGTTTTTGATAAGGTGATACTGGGGAATGCACAATCATCTTGCATGATTGCTATGAGTTAGAACATGTATTTTATTTTCAGTTCCCAATTTGTACCTAACCATTGTTACTTTAAGACATTAGTAGATCGTTTTAGTAGTCGTTTTAGACATCTGAACTGTATGACAATGAAAATAGATAGTTGTACGTCGTATCAAAGCTGTAAGAATGCATTTCTAATCTTATATCTAACAAAGATTCTCATTTTCGGCATAAGAAAAATAAATGAAAAAGATACTGTATTATGAAACTATTATTTTAAACTTGGACGTTATTTAGGTAATAGTTTAATATTACTAAATGATTATGCAATCAGACGATGGAAAGCTTAAATTCCTTTCTTTTGACATAAAATTTTAATTACTGAGTAGTTGTTAATGCCAGACAATCTTATAGATATAGTCGATAAACAGATGAAACAGGTGATAATTACTCTGTGGTGTATTTTTTTTGAGTTCATTGGCATATAATAAGTCGATAATTCAAAGTAACTACAGTTGATTGATAAAACATCATTACTGGTTGCAAAAAAGTTTTCGGCAACAGCCTGGGCTTTCTCCTTCTTCATTGCTAAATGTACACAAAAACACGTTTGTTAATAAAGGAGCACAATTAGTTCCTATCGAAATTTTCAATATTAATGGAAGATCTTGTCTCGTCAGTGAATCCAGAATTTCCAGAATCAGTTTAAAAATCAACCTCGGGGTACTTTTTTGTAAAATCAAAGCAAAAATAGGAAATATTTGAAGAACACATATGTACATGTACATGTATCTTTTGCTTTATATTATAATTTGATGTATTAACTGCATTGGAACATTTTTATCAGATATTCAAATGTCCTCTTTTTAGAAAATGTCAAGCATGTAAAGGATAAATGTTCATTACATTCAAATGAAATATTTTTCTTTAGTTTCAGTTTAAATATGTGTTTCTCTCACTACATAAGTTAATTTTTTCTTTGTGAACAAAGTAATTTTGCAAGCCATATACATTTTATTTGGTTTTTAAAAAAAACACGGGGAAATGTAACTTTATGGTTCATTATAATTTGTGTATTTGAGAAATATTTCACTTTTTTACTTTTTTCACATTATAGATTCTCTAATTACTTGTATATTTCAAATGAAAAAAAAAATTAAATAAGAAAATGTGACGTTGACGTTTCTGTATATAAGATTAAAAAATTGTTTGTAGTATGTATCTTTACGGTAGATCCCAAATTTTAAAGACCAGACCCCGATATTATGAAACTAACTTAAACACAAGGCATTTTTTCTTATCCTGTCAATCGTTTATATATCGTTGAATCAGTATCTAAATTTGGAGATGATACCACATTTGTGATGCAATATATTAAAAAAAAATCTTAATATTAATACTTCTATAACATTTCAGTACAACATACACTGTAGGTATTTTGACTCAAGCTTAAGATGTTCAATGATCCCGAGGCATTTTCTGTGCTAAATGGGATCTTAAATCTTGCTACTACACTACTTGCACTGTACGGTTCAGTTCGTTTGTACTTTATGGTTTGTTTTGTGAATGGTACGGTATGCTTCTTGCACGGTTCTTTTCGTTGCATTTTATGCATGGTACGTTTCGGGGTTTTTTGCGTACTGTTAATTTCATTTTGTGCACGGTACTTTTCACTTTGTGCACGGTACGGTCCGCTTCTTGCATGGAAAGGTTCGTTTCGTTTCTGGGGTGTAGTAGCAAGTTTTAGGGTCTGTAATTCCAGTGTGAAGTATGTAGCACTTATTAACACTTCACAAAAAATAATGTTTATTCAAAAACTCACATTAAAATACAAAATCAAACCAAACTTGTCGTTTTAAAATGCGGTGCTTATTCAACATTGCATTCAAATCAATAGAGAAAGTTACGTAACTAATAAACATTTCAACCTTTCTATAGAAGGGAAGCTCAAAATAACTCTGTAGTAAAGTAGTGACCCGAACCCTAATTAACTTATAGATTATATCTTCCTTTGTCACAGGTATCCCATATGTGTATGAAGTTAACATTTGTTTAAACAGATAACTGTAAAAAATTTAATTAAACATTTCAAAGTGATTTCTTAAACCACGTAATCTCTTTTGAGAGTTTTTCCCGATAAGGTAGATCCCTTCGTTTTTTTATCTTGATTTACAATGTAATCTCGTTTTTTTTTATTGAGATTAAGCACGTCTTACGTCTAATATCTATAAAAAAAAACTTTTGCTTTATAAATTTTAAAATGATTCACGGAAAAAAAACTAAGATTCAACACATGGTTTGAAAGTTCAAAGTTGTACGAAATATCAATGTAACCTTGAATATCTTGAAAATGCAAGAATGCACTCCTGTGTTTCATTTGAATGTAAAGCCGGGGTATCTAGGAAAAATAACCAATTTCAAATATGTATTGTGTTTATTAACTACTTTTCTGTACGCAATAGGATTACAAAAATTAAACCTTGTTAGTCTTCTTCTGAATGGAATTCGCTTGGGAAGCATTTTTATTTAATGATAAATACTAGTATTTTTACCTGCCTAGTTCTTCATAATTTAAGTTTTATTTTCTGATTCTTAGATAATTGTAGAGTCTTCTTAAATAGTTTTGAACAAGTTGACGAATGTTTGTTTTAAATTTGATAGTACATATGCTATCGATCTTTAAAAAAAATAAACGAACTTAATAGTCCCAGGAGGGCCGATCAATAAATAATGTAAAATGTCATCTAAAAAATAGGGAAAGTACGTAATACATATTCTTACTAGTTTCAATCCCTCCATGCATCCCCTTGTTCTCTTAACACGCGTATTAGGTCTTTTATCCATCTTTTATCCCCAGCATATATTCACCTTCAGGGACGGCCCAAAGACACTGATGAATATCATTCCCAATGACTTATCAGATATTGTACATCTTCCTTTTTTATTTATTTATTTTTTTTTTATTTTTTTATTTTATTTTACTTTATTTATTATTATTATTTTTTTTTTTTTTTTGCTTTTTGGGAATGTATGAAGAGACCCATGCATTGATGACTACCACGAAATGTAAAATTTCAAATGCATTACAATAAACATTTTCCAACCATGAAATCAAATACCCACAAACCATTTTTTTTCCTCAAACCTTGAAAATTTGTGAATTGAATGTATTTCCCCTAGCGTATTTTAAATGCATTTTCAGATACAGGAAATAACCCTGGTACAGGTATTTGGACTTCCTTTGTAAGAAATCTGTTTAACTTCCCTAAATGCAACTTGAACATAAAAGTCACCATTGCATTGTTTTACTGAACTTCTTAAAATACATAAAAACATGCTTGTGACCCTTGCCTTTCTTTTGCCAAAATAAAATATCACCTTTTCCTTTTCCTTTTATTCCACATTATTATTATTTATCTTATTTTTCGGATTTAAAAATACAACTATATTTTGTCATCCATGAATTTGAAGCAAGTTTATCAAATCTATTCTATATAACACTGGGTTTTTTAAACCTTGGAATATTTAACGCGTGTTTTCTCTCAGGCATCTGTAAGAAAATAGGACACCAATCTGATAGAAATTTTACATATTTTTTTCTGAATTTTATAAAATGCTGTGATTTATGAAATGTTTAATGTCTTTACAATGTCTTTCGGTGTCAATTTGGCATTTTCAGATACATAACGTTGCACACATTAATATTTTATGGTGTACCAACAAATTTCAATCGAACAGTTTCACTTTTGAATTATTGAATCCATATGAAAGGTATACATCATTAAAGATTATGTTTACTTTTTAAAAAATCATATCTTTTATATGAGCTTTTCGGCAATTTCTTAGAAAAAAAATTAATACTTCTACATTAATTTAGATATACAGTATATTTCATCACTAACCCATCCCTTTATACACTCGTATAAAGATATAGGGCAATGTACAATTAAATATGACAAACACATTTAAAATAAACGATTAACAACAAAAAAATAAATATTGATATGATATGACAGTGCATCATCCTTGCCTTCAGATATTGATAACAGCAGATCTTGAGAATTTGGGATACTTATCTTTAAATCCATATTCGTGCTAAGCATAGATTAAGTCCAGACTAAAAATATCGATAAAGTTGATTTTATTTAAAAAGGTGCAAATTAGATAAATCTTCTCGTCCAAAGTTTTTTTTCCACTGAAGACAGTGATCTTATCAGATCAAAAACAGAGGAATTCACCTTCGTGCTGACCCTTGGGAATTTTTTTCTTCTTAAGTAAGATTTCTGCCGTTGAAATGACAAAGCATAAATGATATTATGTAAAGTAAAATATAAGTAATATTCTTCATGGATACTTTGCAGATCTCCTTAAAAATATGAACTTTTCCCTCTTTTATGTAAAGAAAGATGCTAGTTGGTGTGAAATTAGGGACTTTGTTCAGTTCACTAGGTATTTATCATGTTAACAGCATCAATCCAAGAAATCCTATGATAAATTATATTTAAGATATATACATATAAAGCAACCTAAATCAACCGAATTCTGCAAACGTACATGCCATTCTCGTATTTAACTCAGATGATACCAAGAAGTAGAAGCATATAATACAGGAACACTAAAAATTATAAGCAATGACAGCACGAACCTCTGAATTAGAGATCGGATCAGGTGACAAAGCGGAGTAAGCATCCCCTGTCCACAGTCCCAACTGAAATGTGCTCTTTGTCATGATCTCGGGTAAATGTAAAATCCGTAAACACATCGAAGAACAAGGCAAAACAATTTGTTAAAAAAACATCAATCAATACTCGACTGATTAAAGGACATATTGCAAACAATAACATTTGCAAAATGTTAGATTTAAACGAGATTGTTGATACCTTTGTATGTATTTTTTCAATAACCTTCTTCTTATAGGAAAATATTCTTGATTAAAAAAATTTTCTTCTGTATCGAATTAAAGACAATAAAAGATTTGAAAAAAAAACATAATAAAGAGAATTTGGCGATAGATTGAATTTATCATGTTTAACATACGAGGGACATTCAATAAATAATGTCATCGGTGCTCAGAAAGAAACAAAAAAAAAAAAAAACGCTTTTCGATGATTTAGTCTTAACGATTAAACTAAAATATTCTCTTTTAAATAAAACACATGTCCGTATTAAACATTTTTCTTCAATTCTTGATTGTTTTTAGAACACATTTTTGAGTATGACCCTTCGTATATTGGAATATTGCAGATCCCATGATTTCCTGTACTTGTTTTTAGCTCACCTGAGCCGAAGGCTCAAGTGAGCTTTTCTGATCAAAATTTGTCCGTTGTCTGTCGTCGTCGTCGTTGTCGTTAACTTTTCACATTTTCATCTTCTTCTCAAGAACCGCTGGGCCAATTTCAACCAAACTTGCCACAAAGTATCCTTGGGTAAAAGGGATTCAAGTTTGTTCAAATGAAGGGCCACGCCCTTTTCCAAGGGGAGATCATCATGAATTTGTTAAAAATTAATGGCATTTTTAAAAAATCTTCTCCAGAACCGCTGGGCCAGGAAAGATGAAACTCATGTGGAAGCATCCTCAGGTAGTGTAGATTCAAGTTTGTTCAAATCATGACCCCCGGGGCAAGGGTGGGGCCAAAATGGCCGACCCAAGTTTTACATAGGAACATATAGGAAAAATCTTTAAAAATCTTCTTCTCCAGAACCACTGGGCCTGGAAAGATGAAACTCATGTGGAATCATCCTCAGGTAGTGTAAACTCAAGTTTGTTCAAATCATGACCCCCGGGGCAAGGGTGGGGCCAAAATGGCCGACACAAGTTTTACATAGGAACATATAGAAAAAATCTTTAAAAATCTTCTTCTCCAGAACCACTGGGCCTGGAAAGATGAAACTCATGTGGAATCATCCTCAGGTAGTGTAGATTCAAGTTTGTTCAAATCATGACCCCCGGGGCAAGGGTGGGGCCAAAATGGCCGACCCAAGTTTTACATAGGAATATATAGGAAAAATCTTTAAAAATCTTCTTCTCCAGAACCACTGGGCCAGGAAAGATGAAACTCATGTGGAATCATCCTCAGGTAGTGTAGATTCAAGTTTGTTCAAATCATGACCCCCGGGGCAAGGGTGGGGCCAAAATGGCCGACCCAAGTTTTACATAGGAATATGTAAGAAAAATCTTTAAAAATCTTCTTCTCCAGAACCACTGGGCCTGGAAAGATGAAACTCATGTGGAATCATCCTCAGGTAGTGTAGATTCAAGTTTGTTCAAATCATGACCCCCGGGGCAAGGGTGGGGCCAAAATGGCCGACCCAAGTTTTACATAGGAATATATAAGAAAAATCTTTAAAAATCTTCTTCTCCAGAACCACTGGGCCTGGAAAGATGAAACTCATGTGGAATCATCCTCAGGTAGTGTAGATTCAAGTTTGTTCAAATCATGACCCCCGGGGCTAGGGTGGGGCCAAAATGGCCGACCCAAGTTTTACATAGGGATATATAGGGAAACCTTTTAAAATCTTTTCAAGTACTTCAAAGCTATGATTAGTGATATTTATATGGAATCATCCTCAGGTAGTGTAGATTCTAATTTGTTCAAATGATGAACGCCTGGAGGGGGATAAATTCAAGCCCGATGTGCTCAGGTGAGCGCTGTGGCCCCTGGGCCTCTTGTTTCTTTTTCTTTCTGAAAGGTGTTTTTTCAAGTTTGGGAAATGAAACAAATCAAAGATTGAAAGTGCTGGCCAATGTTGTTGGTGTGACAAAATATTAACTTTCTTTTTATCCCCGGAACCCCTTTACTCTTTCTTGCCTGTGGGTTTGGACGCTGTCATGTAGAAATTTAATGTAGTGGATTCCTCATTCTGGCTCCTTCCTCTCATAAATTTTTCACTTCTTTGCAAAAATTTTGTTTTTTAGATTCTTCCAGAAATTGAAATTACTCTCTCAATAAAAATTTAAACAACAAGACCACTAATATTTAAGAAAATTGCATATGAAACTGTTTTTGTTCTCATGCTATTCTTTGCTCTTTTCAGGCCTTTGCTGTTTTGTCAAGTGTATCTCAATGTAAGTTTGTTTTGAGGGATTAAAGAAAATGGATTCAAGTTTTATTATCTGTTTGAATTTCAGACAAACATGGACATTTTTTATTTTTTAAAATAATTGGCTAGATATTCCTACACGCTGTCGTTTTCACTCATTTGTCAAAATATTGGGTAACCTTTGAGTATTAAACTTTTTTTACTATTAAATATTTCTTTAAAACTTTGTGAACTACCCCAAAAATGATGTCTATTAAATTTGCTATGTGTCTTAAAGCCAATCAAACATACTCAGTGATGAATTTTCGCAAATATACGTCGGTTGTTGTATGATCTTGTCGCCAAGGACGGTACCCATTTTTGATGTCCATTATATCATTTTTGTTCATGGAAATGTATCTGCTCATGTGTGTACAAAACAGACATTGGTTGTTGTAAATTACACATAATTTCTGTTAATATATCTTTGGGATTCTGAACAATTTTTTACAGCAGCTTTAATGGAGCGTTTAATTTCACTTTAACTTACTGATTCTTGGCTATTCATTTTAAATGCAGTGTCTCGACTAGCCCTTGTTTTCCAGCTTCTCACAATGGAACTGTGGGATAAAAAGTGGTTTTTCAACTCATTAAAGATTCAATAATTAGAGAAAGTCAAGCTTAATGGCATATGGCATATAATTTCTATGTTGTATGTCATCGAGCTGATGACATTATTTATTGAATGCAATGTTTCGCTTACAGTTTGCTGTTAATGCATGTCTTTCTTTCGTAAAATACCCAGATATGATCAACATGTATTTCCGCTAATTCACCTGATACTGTAGATTTTTTGGCAAAAAAAAAATCAGTCCATATTTTGTTCTAACTATGACCATATTATTCAGATTAATTAAGAGAGTTATACATTTGAATGTTACACAGAAGTAAAGAAATATAAATGTATATGTTTTTTTAAAAAGAATTCTCTACATTTTGCATAATGAAACATGTTATAACATTTCAATCACATCCCATCATTATCTATGTATTTATTATCGCTATTTAGTTTACAATCTCAGTGTTTTAAGTATATGACCGTACACTTTATAGTTGAATCAAGTGTAGCGGTGTCCCATTGTAAACGGCAGATAAGATATTGAAGGCATAAAATAGACATATCAAAGTGTTATATGTCAGGTCGTTATCTGAAATTTGAATTGAATCAATGCTCTCCCAGGTAAGACAGATATTCTAATGTTTTCAAATTTATTTTTATTTGCTTTAAAAAAAGTTTATATTAAGGTGATCTCTCTCTCTCTCTCTCTCTCATCATTTACTTACCAATACCTCTTATGTTTTACTTTCTTGAAGCAAAAGTAACAATGTCAATACAGAAGTATTTGAACTTGAAATAAAATGCAACAATTTCTGTTGCTCCTTAATTTCTTTTTAAAAAACAGAGATTGAACATAACAACGCATTTTTCATAAAGGAAATCTACGAAGAATTAACTAGAAAATTCATTCAGTGAGCACATTTAAATCTTTATGATTCTTCAGCTAGATATTCATACATTGGCTATTTTCATCTTGATAAATACTGTCCAAAAACTTGTTAATTGTCCATTTTTTTTCACAGCTATAGAATGTAGACAAAACTTTGCCATGAGAGGTCGGCGACTTCTTCACATGGTGGTCCTGATCATGTGCGCCTACATTCTGGTTACTGTTTATTTCTACAAGAGTGTGTTCGAGAGAGGGCAGGAAGTTAGGCAGTCCGACGACTACAGTTCAGTGTTCGAATATGATGAAGACAAATCAGAAACGAAAGTTGATCGGAAGTTGAAAGGACACAGTGATCGCGTTTTCTTAAATGGAAAACTACACCAAAACAGTGTACGAAAAGATAAATTTAATGATCATACTGAAGTATCAGAAAATTCCGGAAAATTTACTTCATCCAGGAAACAGTCCTTCAAGAAGGAGGAAATATCAAAGAAAACAACGGTTTCTAAGTTCGAAATACTTGAGGAAGAAGAATTTGATAGGAAACTTAGAGAGAGTGCCATAAGAATTGCAGAGAAAATTCTACAAAATAAAATGAATTTTTATCAAAACAAAACGGCTAGCACCACAAAGTCAGGGTCTTACCAAAGACCTATATTTACAAAAACAAGTTTTATGGAGTATAAAACTTCAAATATTGCCAAGAAGATGTTAACAACGAAGAAGCATTTTGCTGAGCAATCAGAGTTTATTCGAAATCCTAACATAACAATGTCAACTGAGAATTATAACTTTAGAGAAATATTTCCTTATAATGGGATATATTTATATTCTTCCTTTTTTGATACACGCGAGGAAGGAAATTTTATTCGTTTTATACTGATCGGTAGAGCACGTAATTTCATCAGATTGTGGTGTCTTTTGCAAAGCAATGACACTGACGAGGTTTTCAAATCTGAGGTGCAGTTCTACCCAACGTGTGAAAGCCACGTTAAAGATAACTCAGTTTATCTGTGCTCATGTGAAGTACCCCCAAAATTTGGAAGGGTTCAAAATGTAAATTTGACTAACGATGAAAATATGAAGCACATTGTACCCATAAGTGTTATACCTGATGTCACTGAACAACAGTTTAAATTCAAGTTTTCCACATGCGTCCCTCCTTTGTTTGGAGATATCAATATATTACGATTAACTGAATTTATCGAACTGTCCAGAATGTTAGGTACAGAACATATTTATTTTTACTACAACAGAGAAAGACGTGATATCAACCGATTACTTCAGTATTATTCAGAACTGGGGATTGTTACACATTTCCCATGGAATTTGACAATGGAGTCACATGAAATTTGGTATCATGGACAATCCGCTGCTATTTGGGATTGCATGTATAGAAATATACGCGTGTCGGAGCTTGTGTCTTTTAATGACATTGACGAATTTATCGTTCCTCAACAAACAGAAACATGGAATTCCATGTTACCTTATTTACACACATTGGCCAGGGATTCCCTTTCAAAGCAGGAAGATGTGGCTGTGTTTAGATTTCAAAGTGTTTTCTTTGATTCTAACTTTGTAAACCAAGAGCCAGTCAAAAATGATGAATTTATTCAACTTCTGACATCAAACGTTACAATGCGAACTTCAACAGTCAGTAAAGTTAGAACAAAAATGATTGCTTATCCATTAAGAGTTTTTGAACTAGGAATTCATCATTTAAGTAGACCTATTAAAGAAAATTTTAAGACCGTTTCAATTCCAGAAACCATTGCTTTAATATATCATTATCGAACCTGTGATTGGAACTATGGCATGAACTGTGATAGAATTGTCAAAGATGATTCAATGTATAGATATAGAAAAGAATTACTAAGACGTGTGAAAAATACACTCAATAGGGTAGACTATTTAAAAACAACTCCACGCTCAGACACTAGTAATATAATGAAACAAGTTGATGCAAACAACAGTTAGTAAAACCAATAAACTGATCAAATACAGCACTGATTTACTTATTTCAATTGTGAGTGCATAAAATATGTATAATGATGTAAATTGTTGTCGTTCTGTACATATTGACGACTATATTGGTTTTTTTTGTTTAAGAACATCCATTTCGAGAATCTTTCACTCAGTCTGAGATGAAACGAGTTTCAAATACATGTATAAAAAGTATATTTGGCACTTGTGGTCAATAAGCAATGATGGATGTTTTTCATGCCAGCACCTACCGCTATTAAGGACCGGTTAAGGATCGCTTTATAAGATTTCATCCAAGGGACCATTCCCCACGTCTGGACGGATGCGAACCCACGACAACGATATTTTGTATCTTTCCTAACTTCAAATATTAATGTGGGCTTTCCAAACATATACGAGATCTGCTTGTTTTTCTTCTTGACAATATCTATATTGTTTTGGGAGACCACGTCTTCCAACAATCTATCGGAATTCCCATGGACACCAATTGCGCCCCGTTATTAACAGACCTATTTTTGTATTCATATGAACAGATTTTGTCCAAATTCTTACACGCAAAAAGAAGAAAACATCTCCTTTGGCCTTGACGATTTTGATATATCGACGACGTATTGTCAATTAACAATGGTTATTTTGAACCTTATGTTGATACGATATTTCCCGGTGAACTTGAAATAAAAGGTACCACAAAGTCTTACACATATGTTTCATATCAGGATATTTTATTTGAAAAAAAAATAAAGGTAATCTAACAAGCAAGGATTATAATAAACGCAATGTCTTTCGCTTTTCAATCGTCAACATCCCTTACTAATGCAGCAGAATATATACTTCCTCACCTGCATAAGAGGTTTATATCTCTCGGTTGAATCGATATGCAAGAACATGCTCTATGTATGAATAATTTCTAAAACGGGGTAGGTTATTTACATGTTGATGAAACAAGAATATCAGCAGTCCTGTCTATATATATAAAGTCATTATTTCTTAAGTTCCGTGTTCGATGTAATGACTATGTCATCAAATACAGTTTATCATCTCGTAAGTCAAATGCTGACGTTTTTTTTAATTGTTAGACCATTATTTACACACTGAATTGTCGATGGACAGGCACGTAGCATCGTTTTTGAAAGGGGAGGGGGGCAGCCAGACAAAAAATTTTTTTAATTACCATGAAAAGTTGACAACCAAAAAAAAAAAAAAAAGAAATCATTGCCCAAAACTCGAAAATCCTATTCCATGGGGGGGGGGGGGGGGGGGGGGTTGCATACAATAATGCATGTCCTTTATATTACTTTACTGTAGTATTAACTGGGGGACCTATCTTTCAATGAACATTTTCAATATAGTAAAGGTAATGTTGGGGAAAAATGTGGGGACCAGCACCCACTGCCCCCCCCCCCCCCCCCCCCCGTTGCAACGTGCATAGGATTTTCTGTGTTTCCAGATCATGACAAGAAGCAATCGGAGGTTGTGACCGGTGGGAAGGGTATGCTCGTCCCTCCATGGCACCTGATCCCACTTCTATTATTTTGAAGGTCGTTATTTGCTCTGCTCCTATCTTGTATTATTTAATGGACATTTAGGCTTGTATACTGTTCGTTATCTCCATATATTTCATATATTGACACTGGCAACAATGCATATGGAGATTTAAACCACTCTCAACATGGTTGACAATTTGTACCTTACTATCGTCACCCAGATCAACGCAGAACGATTATATGTATCTTTATAGACTTATCATATTTACATATGCAGTAAAATGGTATCAATGTCAGTTCTTTGCTTTAGATCCTTCAAGGAAATATCACGATAAGAACAACAACCAGGCTTAAGAAAGTCCATTGGAACGATATATAAAAAAATGAAGCAGGACAAACACGGACCTCTAAAACGTCGGAGTTGGGAGCAGCAAAGTACCATGTAGGCGTAGGCGAACTTGACCAGTTACGAACAGCTGTTTGCTCCTTGTAGTGATTAATTAAACGGAAAATTTTGTAGACAAGTACTACATGTACCGGGGTATATACTGGAATGATGTGCAAAATGTGAGTCAATACGCGACTTAATATTAAGATATAAGATAATTTTAACCATTCTGCTTAAATTCAGGAAATTGTCATCACTTTCAAATGATTTTATTGCTTTCTAAATTGTTAACTCCAGAAAAATAATATTTTTTGAGTGCAGAAAGGTCAAATAATTGAATATGCAAAGTAATTTTAAACTTTTTTTGTTGTCCAAAACATTGTATTTAATGTGAATAGTAAAGATGAAAATAGGCTGTGTTTGGTCCAATAATTCGTTTGGATAAAAAATATGATAGTAAAACTTCGAAAAAATTGAATTATGTGATAGAATTAATTACAGTGCAAAAAAGGTCATATTAATTGCTCCAATTTGCTAAAAGAAGCGCACTGACCCCCATATTTTGTTTTGATTTTTTTTATAGCTATGTGTGTAGATTCTAAAAACATACTAGACATAAAATTCTCAATACTTTAATAACAGGAGCCAACCTCAGTAATAAGACTGTCAACATACTCGTATCGTCAACTTATTTGTCAACAGTTTGTCTCGTTTCAGTAATGGTTTGTTTAAAGAACATGCATGCTTTAGCGTATCGAATCAACTTGGAGATACAGTCTATAAACTCAAAGATCATTTATTTCGATAGAATAAAGAAACTACCCCGGTATGATATGGCAGGGTTTTGTTATGGCTTTACTTTCAGATAAATTGAAAAATTAATACTAATGCACTGCATACAAATAAAAAACTGTTCAATGGCACAATGTAATGAATATACATACGATGATCAATAACAGTTCAATACTTTGATATACGCAAATATCAATGATCAGCAATGAGTTTACACACAATTTCTACTTCTATCAAACGTATATGATGTAGAAGGGACAAAGTCACAATGACGGAAGTACAATTATTGGCCACAGATTCTGGACGATAACAGAGCCTTGTCGGCATAGTTGATGAATGCGTGATGATGGGCGTATGAATAAGGAATATTTCAATTTTCCATATTATATGTGCAACTTCAGATTCTGTATGGCATTTGATTTCAATCTAATGTGATTTAAAAACTAAAGTGTAGAGGCCAATAAACTTGATTGTTTGCCTAGGATTGTGGTAAACTGATAACACCACTGAGATGACAGAAGAACGGACCTTCAGCATGGGGCCTTATAGCTAAATATTGCTGCTTGTGTTAAAATAATGTAGATGTTTCACTACTGAATGAACTGGTGCACTTTTAGAAGATTGATCAGTTTTAGAACCCTTTCAGAAGAACTGGATTTCTGAGTTTTTCTTCACTAAGATATCACATATTATGCATGAAAAAATTGTTAAAGATACGACAGAAAAATTTGGTGATACTTACATTGTGCTGATTAATAATTTTTTCGTGCATGATGTTAAAGATGCAAGTCAAAAAGTTTAAATACATGTTGATTTTGAATGTGATTTGACTTTTTTTTTTTGGTTTTTTAGAGCATTGTTTTGTAAAAAAAAATGATGTCTGAAAATAATCTATTTTTAGCATTTCACACTGTTTTTGCACGTTGCTCTGTGTAAAAATTAGCAATATTAAGGTATTATTTTTATCTCTAAAATTTAAACGCAAGTGGCAAGGAAGAAATATCGAAGTTTAGAAAATTTCACACAAAGACATTTTAGACATATGTTCCCCTTGAGATAAACATAAATTAAGTGTAAATTCTAATTGAACATATCATAGCGTTGTGAGTATCAATTCATTGACATGTTTTATGTTTTATTAAGAACCGGTTTCATGATTAGAATTCCAAGGTGAAAATGATCGATCACATTTGATGAACAAATTTTTACAAAATTCACTTTTCAAAATGCTGCTAAGTAGCAACGGTTTAAGGGAGTGGGGTGGAGACAATCTCCTAAAAAATGTTTCAATTATCAAAACCGAAAGTGAGCTGTTTTCTATATAATGAATATACTGTATTAATAATGTAAAATATGCCCAATTATGATGATTGAATATTTTGTCGTTTTTGTGTAAATATTTTGTCGAATGTGCAGTTGTTCTATAGTTTGTTTAATTTTTGATAAAATCAGGTCCATTGTATTTCCACCTTTTTTACTTACACGTTTATTTTTGTTTCAGGTCGTGCAGAAAAATTCTTTCGATCGATGCAATTGTATTGCAATAACAAGCAATTAATCTCGTTAATCCAGTAAAACACATACAAACTCCTGGGAATATCAGAGGTGGACCAGAAGCCTGGGATGAGTAAACATCTCCTGTACGTAGACCAGGCACACTCATCAACAGCCTTAAATATTGATCAGGCAGTCTTCTCGGTACCAGTTTAAAAATAATAGTGTTTTGTCATTCATTTTTTTTTCATAGTCCTATTCAAATGATTATAGCAACAGCACAACACAAATTGTCCTGCTAATATCATCAGAATTGTCTCATCATCTAAACCTTTTATTATTGAAAATGTTCTGTGAAAGGCTGTCTCCTTCTTTTCTTAATCATTATTTATTTTGTAAGCCATGGTAACTTGGTAATGACTTCGTAAAATTTTGTTGATAAAGGTCAGTTTAAATTATCCTGCAAAGAATCTCATTTCCTAGAGTTTTCCAATTTTTTTTTTTTCAAATTGCATTTTACATTCACTGTGGTACATATAAGTCTATATTTTTATAATATTTTATATAGTTGATAGAAAAGAGGTAAAATGATATTATATGTACGATGTTTATCGTTTTTGTCGAAATGTTACGAGTCGTTCATACAGTTCAAAAACATTCAATGTATAGAAATCAAAACAACTTAATTGCTATATTTTTATATGTTACATGTGATAAAGGAATTTATTTGGTCCATATTTCAAACTTCTTCCGTAAGTCTTACATAAATTGTTGTGCACTTTCAGTAAGTACCTTAAGTAAATTTTCGACTCCCATTTTTGAAGAGAGACATAATAAGAATATTTTAAAGATAAAAAACAAAACAAATTCTCATTTT